GCACTGATTCCAAGCTACCTATCCTCTCTCAGACTTACATGAATTCAAGATTTGACCACTGAGGATCTCAGAGCTCAGACATGTGACCCCAATTTCTATATAGCTAAAATTAGTCTTTCCTTCTCTGAGCTATCCTTTTTTTGAGCAAGCCTAATTCTGTTGTCAAGTGGCATAGAAGGAGCTGAGAATTTATTCCTTTCTGGTAGAAGCTGAAGGGGATATAAACCTGCTGGCAGTTAATTTAATTTGATTTTTGTTTTTTAAGACAGGGTCTTGTTCTGTCACCCAGGCTGGAGTGCCGGCCTACAGCAACCTCTGCCTCCTGGGCTCAAGCCATCCTCCCACCTCAACCTCCTGAGTAGTAGCTGGGAACACAGGTGCATGCCACCATGCCCAGCTAGTTTTTTTGTGTGTGTTTTCTGTACAGACAGATTTTCACCATGTTGCCCAGGCTTATCTCAAACTCCTGAGCTCAAGTGATCCACCCGCCTCAGCCTCACAAAGTGCTGGGATTACAGGTGTGAGCCACCATGGCTGGCCAATTTTATTTTTTAAACAACATAGATTCAAACAAACTTTTTAAGCTTCATAAAGCCACCCAGTGGAATTACATTAACTTTTGATTATTTAAGTGATTCTGATTTGCTTCATTCTGGCCATTGATACAGTTTCCCTTTGGACCAGTTGGCATTATAATTCCCACTAGATGCTGGGATTCATGACATTTTGACTCAACAATTTTAAAACTGGGAATATTTCAACATATTCATAAAACAGAGCCACAAACATTAAGCTCTTGTGCTTTCTTGGTATCTTTCTACCCTATGCTAGAATCTTACCCACACTCAGGACAGAATGAGGGAGCTTACATGGCAGGTGCTTTGTCAGAGCCTAACCTGTGCCAGACATGAGGGCAGGGCCAGGCCTTCTGTGTTATCTGTTTGCATAAACAGATTAACATAGGGGCTGAGGAGGCTCCTGGGAAAAGAGCTAGAAGAGCGTGCAGAGAATGGATCCCAGGAAAAGAATCTAGCCTGAGGATGTGACCAGCTGGGGCCAATTAGGCTCTGAAGGTGGTAGGAGGTGTTCTTGGTACATTGTCTTGACTGCTGCCTGAACCTGTGAAGATACCTGCCTGCTTCAAGGGGTGTGCATACGTTGAAGAGAGAATGGCTGGGAGTGTAAAACTGCCACTTCCGGTCCCGGTTATCCTTTGTATTAGCCCGTTTTTATACTACTATAAAGAAATACCCAAGACTGGGTAATTTATAAAGGAAAGAAGTTTAATTGACTCACAGTTCCGCATGGGTGGGGAGGCCTCAGGAAACTTACAATCATGGCAGAAGAGGAAGCAGGCATGTGTTACATGGCGGCAGGTGAGAGAAGCCAGTGAAGGCAGAACTGTCAGACACTTACAAAACCATCAGATGTTGTCAGAACTCACTCATTATCTCGTGAACAACATGCAGAAACCACCCCTATGATCTAATCACCTCCCACCAGGTCCCTTCCTCAACAGCGGGGATTATGGGGATTACAACATGAGATGAGATTTGGGTGGAGACACAGAGCCAAACCATATCACCTCTATTAAGCAGAGGTTTCCATGGCTATTTCTTAGTGGCCTGAGCCTGGGTGGCAGATTAAGTAGAAGATGAGAACTTCCCCAGTAATGACAGAGGCATGTGTCCCAGTAAAAGTTCCTAGACATCCTGGAATAGGACTGCATCAGTAGATGCTATGGTCTGAATGTTTATGTCCCCTCGAAATTCATATGTTGAAACACAATCTCCAATGCAATAGTATTAAGAGGTGGGGCCTTTGAGAGATGATTAGGTCATGAGGACTCCACCCTTATGAATGGGTTAATGCCCTTATTAAAAAGGCCTGAGGAAGCTTGTTTGCCCCTTTCACCATGTGAGGACAGATAGAAGGTGCCATTTATGAGGAACAGGTCCTCCCCAGACACCGAATCTGCTTATGCCTTGATCTTGGACTTCCCAGCCACCAGAACTGTGAGAAATAAATTTCTATTGCTTATGAATTACCAAGTCTGAGGTATTTTGTTATAGTAGCCCAAACTGACTAAGACAGTAGGGAACGCAGAAGCCTTAGCTAAGGAATGAAAATTGCTTAAAAGCAGAAACGCAGTAGGTAGGCCGCTGGCCCAGGCAGTGGCAGCTCCAGGGCTAGGGAGGGCAGAAGTGTACTTAGTGGATTGACACACAAAAGCAGAGAACCCTGGATACTAAAGGTGGAAGGGACCTCAAAACTGGTAGTGGAGGCTGGGTGCAGTCGCTCACACCTGTATTCTCAGCACTTTGAGAGGCCAAGGTGGACAGATCAGCTGAGGTCAGGAGATTGAGACCACCCTGGCCAACATGGTGAAACCCCATCTCTACTAAAAATACAACAATTAGCCAGGCATGGTGGCAGGTGCCTGTAATCCCGGCTACTCAACAGGCTGAGGCAGGAGACTCGCTTGAACCCAGCAGGCAGATGTTGCAATGAGCCGAGATTGCACCATTGCACTCCAGCCTGGAAAAAAAAAAAAAAAAAAAGAGGTAGCAGCAGGGGGTGCTGCTATTGATTTCCTGAGGTTTCATAGGCTGGGCTCTCAAGGTTAGGACTTGAATGTTTAGGACAGCTCATATAGTAGTAATATGACATCATGTGTACCTACAGGTTGGGAAGCCCTGGGACACTGAAATTACAAGTGGATAATAAAAACAGAGTTTTTTCCTTGTGACGTGACCACTGTGATGTAAAGCTGTATCTCCTTCATTTCATCAAGAAATTCTTAACATTCCCCCCAACTTGCTTCCATCTTTCTCTTCATTGCCAACTCTGTAAGAAGTACCACCCCTTTTCTTTGAATCTGATTCTCCTCCGAGAAGGAATGCTTCTCTGAGGCTTTCGCCTTTGCTCCCATCAAAGCCCCCACACCGAATAAATACCATCCTTACATGCCCTTCCAAAGACTCCCCTAATGAACGAGCTTCATCCAACAACAGATTACTGGGAAACTTCAGCAAAAAGACTGTTGATGAAAATTTGCTGTATTTGATTATATAACTAAGACTAAAACGGGAACATAGTTGGAATTATACTAAGTAAATATGATATGTTCTCACCAAGTAGAAAGACTGCAACTAAATAATACAGAAGAAGAGGGAAAGTAAAACAATATTGTTTACAATTGTATAGGTACTGGGTGTGAGTTAAATTACACCACTTAAAATGAACAGGACAGTAAAAAGTGAAGAAAAAAAGACAAAGGTATCATAAAATATATACATTCAGAGGTATTGAAATATTTGTGCATCAAAACAACTATGGCAAAATTTTACTGATTCAGTATTATGCCTATGAAAATTATTCAGTTCAGTGATTTGGAGAAGAGGGTAAAGAAATGTTTACACATCAGAATCTGTGGAGGGGAGAATGTGTGTCTAGAAAGAAAATGGTATTTTGTCTCATTGGTTTGATTTGTTTTTAGTTATAATATTTCATCTATTTTGAATTTTATAAAAATGACAGTAGTGTATGTGATTTTTATGCTGATGAAGAGAAAATGGATTCAAAAAGGTTAAGAAACACTAATCCAAGGGAGCTTCCAGAATAATTGTGGCCATCTAATTTGGACCTCCTCACAAAACCCTTAAATTCAACAGAAGCACAAGATAATCACCTATGGTCCATGCCTTCAGCATTAGTGGAAGATGGAGGATACCACAAATGTTAAGTGACCAATAAGTAGAGAAACAAACGCCATATTCCAAATGAACTCCCATCACTTATACCCACTGTAAGCTGTGTGCAGAGAGTGGGAGAAAGAAGACTTAAAATCCCCAGGAAAAAGAGTAAAGAGGCAGGGAAAACTTAGACATAGCATAAACAAAATCACCTCCAGAAAGTAAAAGTTTCACTGCTAAGTGACACATTCACAGCACAGTTAAAGGGAAGGGGATTGAAAATAAGCAGAACCAGAAATAGCAACTTCAAAGAAGCATTGCTTCTTGGGGAGAATCAGATAAACTAAGAAAGAGTAGTGCCCCTTAGAGACTTGACAGTGATGAGAAAGAAGGAACTAAGAGGGAAAAATGGAGGACCTTGCAGAAAGTAGAGAGAAATAAGACATGATGGCCCACTATCCCATTACTACCCATTTCTGCACTGCACTGACAGGAGAGGATATTCTTGAATTAGAAACCTGTCCAAAAAACTTTAAATTTAAAAAATCAACCTAATTCCATAAAGAGTTGCTATTAGAAGAACACATACACGCAAAAATGAGAATCATTGCAGTTTAACTGACGAGAATTCTTAACCAAAACCAACCAAAGAGCAGAAGAAAAGTGTAACCCAACATTCCAAAGTGAAGTAGTTATCTTCAAACAATGGGATATATTTAGAAAAAAAAGAAACTCAGAATCAGAAATTTTATAACCAAGGCCATAATGAGCACAAAATAGGAAGACATGCAATGAGTTGATTGAGCTATGGAATGAAATTCAAGAAAAATACAAAATCATTTCAAAAATGAAGAATAGATTACAAGATACTGAAGATAATAGATTTGAACATTGAACAATTTCAGCATTGAAAAGGGGCAGTAAAATAACGAAGAGAATAAAGAATGATGTAAACAGGGTTAAACACAAGTGATTGGAATGGAGGATGGGCAAATAAGATCCAACATACATATAATAGGAGCTCCTGGAGAAGAAAAGCAAAGCAATGGAATGGAACTGTAATTCAAGAAAACTTTCCAGAAAGAAGAGAAAATATAATTTACGTATTGAAGAGGCCCACTGTATATCTAGAAAAACTGACCTAGAGAGAATAACTGAGATATTTTTAGTAAACTATGAGGCTTTAAAGATAGACACACACATACACACACACACACACACACACACACACACAGATAATCCTCAGGCCCTATGTTAGTTTCCTGTGGCTGCTGTAACAAATGACCGCAAACTTGGTGGCTTAAAACAACAGAAATGTATTATTTCACTTTTGGCCAGAAGTCCAAAATCAAAGTGTCAGCAGGGCTATGTCCCCTCCGAAGGCTCCAGGGAAGGATCCCTCCTTGCCTTCTCTAGCTTCCAGTGGCTCCAGGTGTTCTTTTGACTTGTGAGTGCCTGACTCCAAACTCCACCTCTGTCTTCACATGCACTTTTCCTCTTTATCCCTATCTCTTTCCTCTATTGTCGCTCTCAAATCCCCCCTGTGCCTTTCTCTTATAGGAATACTTGTCATTGAAATTAGGGCCCGCCTGGATAATCCATGATGATCTCGTCTCAAGATCCTTAACTTAATGGCATCTGCAGAGACTGGTTTATCAAATAAGGTAAGATTCACAAGTTGCAGGGACCTAGACATAAACATATCTTTTTAAGGCCATTATTTAATCCACTACAGGGCCTCCAGGCAAAGAGCTCAAATTACTTAAAAGGATAAGAATACTAAACTGGCATCATACTTCTCGTAAGCAACAGATAAAGCAAGTCAATAATGGAACAGCCTTTTAAAGGACTTATGAACAGAGTGTGAGCCAATGTTTTTATATCCAGCCAGGCTCTTTCAAATATCAAGATTAAAGTAAAACAGTTTCAACATACAATAACTGAGGGATACTGTACACATGTACACTAGGGCTCTCCTAGAGAATGAGCTTTGTTTGAGCAAAAGTAGAAAAATTTTAGCAACAGGACTGGTGGTGAAAATATATTTTGTGGTTGATATGGTCTGGTTCTGTGTCTCACCCAAATCTCATCTTGAATGGCAATCCAAATTGTAATCCCCACATGTTTGGGGAGGGAGCTCCTGGCAGGTGATTAGGTCATGGGGACAGTTCCCCCATGCTGTTCTTGTGATAGTGAGTGAGTTCTCATGAGATCTGATGCTTTTATAAGGGACTTTTCCCACTTTGCTTGACACTTCTCTCTCTCCTGCCACCATGTCACGAAGGACATGTTCGCTTCCCCTTCTGCCATGACTGTAAGTTTCCTGAGGCCTCACCAGCCATGTGGAACTGTGAGTCAATTAGACCTCTTTCCTTTATAAATTACCCAGTCTTAAGTATTTCTTCGTAACAGCATGAAATGAACTAATACAGTAGAGTATATTGTGTGGTGAAAATTTAATATTTTTAATTGTATAGCTAAAACACAGGTGAGGACATGGATTAAAGAGTAGTATACATATATTATGTGTTCTGAAAAGCAAAAATTATGCAATCAAAAAGAAAAGAGAGGGGAAGAGAGAAAGAAAGGAGAAAGCAGAGAAGTAGAATTAATAGTTACATAGATAAAGGGGGAAGGAGAAGAGTATAAATGGTCATACCAGACAGTAGAATGTTCAGTAAGAAGAAAAGGAAGTTAAAAGGGATGAAAATGGAATAAATACAACCACTGGAACAAACACACAAACATTCTGAAATGCCAAAAGAAATGAAAAAAAAAATAGCAAATAAAATATGGCAATTAAAGAAGGAAATATGGTAAGTATGACACATGGAGTAATTATAAAATAATATGATACTTGAGACCAAATATATGAGTCATACCAATAAATGGATTGGGCTTTACTGGTTTCCTCTCTTTTCTTGTTATAGTGATGAATAAGCCCATTCTCAAATTGGCCCACAAAGCAAAACCTGACCTCATGCTATATTTAATAGACATATATCAAACATGATGATTCAAAAGGCCAAAAATATAAAAAACTGGTAAAGATATACCACAAAAATACAAACAATAAGAAGATAGGATAGTGGTTATTACATCAGATGAGTTAATTCAGGCCAAAAAGCCTTAAATGAGACAATGGAATGTACTATGCAATACTGAAAACCAGGTTTCACAGTTCTTGTACAATAATTATGACTATCTATGCACTGAATAACACAGCAACCACCAATATAAAACAGAAATCACACAAAGTGAGAATAGGAATAGAATATTAAACACATTGATAGGAGACTTTAACATCACAGCCAGTACAAGGCAGATTGAATGGGAAGAAAATAAAGTTGTTTAAATAGCTTAATAATAAAGTAGACCTTACGCATATTCAACACTGTGCCCTAATAATAGAGAATGTATTTTCTTTTCAAATATACATGATCATTTTGAAAAATTGGCCATATAAGGCCAGGTATGGTGGCTTACATCTGTAATCCCAGCACTTTGGGAGGCCAAAGTGGGAGGATCACTTAAGCCTAGGAGTTCAAGACTGCCAATATAGTGGGACCTTCACTCTACAAAAAAAATACAAAAATTAGCCAGGTGTGGTGGTGTGCATCTGCAGTCCCAGCTATTCGGGAGGCTGAGGTAGGAGGATAGCTTGAGCCCAGGAGGTTGAGACTGCAGTGATCTGTGATCACGCATTGCATGATTAGCCTGGGCAACAGAGTGAGACCCTATCTTAAAAAGAAAATTCATCATATATTTGTATTTATGGTTGCATTAAATTAACCTGGATAGGCTTGGTAGACCTCTGCTTTTACTCTAACTTCTGCCATGGTCTTTTCTAGTATCGTCTGAGTTGCATGTGCAAGAAAAACAGTTCTCACTTCAATGTGTGATTAAATCCAAAAGTTGACAAGTAATGCTGTTCTTCTTTCTGACCTTTTCCAGACATAGCATAATGAGTATCTCCTTTTTAAGCACAGGATGTGGGATGATCGCAAATAAAATGTGCTTTCACATACAAGTGTCAAGGGATGGATAACTCCTTCACGTCTGCAGGCCTAGTTGGAGAGGTATTAATATTTGATGCTACTTCTCCTGCAAGCCATTTGGCGTGCCAGTCAGCTGGGCTGTGTGTTCTGTGCTATGGCCTGCGAGATGTACGATGTCATCACATGGCTTTTCGGCAGGGTCAGTGGGAAACACGAGACATGATAGGTTAGTTGCATATGAAATAAGTGCAGAAAAGAAAAGCTGAGCAGTCCTTCCACAGAGCGTACAAAAGTACTGCTGCTTCTGCTACAACGGTTATGTCGTTTATTATAAAGTATGTGTGATGGCTAATACTGAGCATCAACTTGATTGGATTGAAGGATGCAAAGTATTGCTCCTGGGTGTGTCTATCAGGGTGTTGCCAAAGGAGATTAACATTTGAGTCAGTGGGCTGGGGAAGGCAGACCCACCCTTAATCTGTGGTGGGCACAGTCTAATCAGCTGTCAGCACAGCTAGGATAAAAGCAGGTAGAAAAACATGAAAAGACTAGACTGGCTTAGCCTCCCAGCCTACATCTTTCTCCTGTGCTGGATGCTTTCTGCCCTCGAACATCAGACTCCAAGTTCTTCAGTTTTGGGACTTGGGCTGGCTTCCTTGTTCCTCAGCTTGCAGACAGCCTATTGTGGGACCTTGTGATCCTGTAAGTTAATACTCCTTAATATATATATATATACCCACATCATTTATTTTGTTATTTAGTAATTCCTTTTTTCTTTTATGATAAACGATTTTGGCAAAATGAGATTTTAAAAAATGCATGCATGCTCAATGAAAAAGTGTTACTGTCTTTTGACACTCAGGAAGTTCATGACAAATATGTAATTTGCACAATATGTTTCAAAACATTTGCCATCCAACAGGGACTGTGGCTATATCACTGACCTCAAGAAAACCTATGGACAAAATCTGCTAAAGAAGTACCAGCATCTATGTCAAAAGTTAGTCATTATTTTAAGAAGACTGTGCTGGAAGACGAGTATTTAACATAAGCAGATACAAAAGGTGCAGTTACAAGTCACTGTGAAGCAGTGATGGCTCCTTATTTAGATCAGACATCTGCTCTTCCAAATGCATTTTTTTCCACTTGCAATAGTGGTTCCCAGGGAAGGGCTGCAGGTACTGATGGGACTGACGGTGGGTGGAAAAACCCAGGCCTTCTGTGTGCCACGCAGCGATGTTCCGTAACGTCAAAAATGAAGCCTTTTCCTATAAAAGGGATCAACCCAGGTAAGTCAGGTTTATCGGAAAGCCTTTGTGCTGAGGGAGGGGTTACATGTGGAGGATTTCATGGCCAGGAATGAAAGGAAAGGGTTTCTAGCTGACCCAGTAGGCGGGGGTGGAGGGTGGTATTCTTTATTTTCTTTTGGAGGGGGACAGGATCTCACTCTGTCACCCAGGCTGGAGTTCTGTGGCAGGATCTCGACTCACTGCAACTTTCGCCTCCCAAGCTCAAGCAATGCTTCGACCTCAGCCTCCGGAGTAGCTGGGATTACGATGCACACCACCATGCCTGGCTAAGTTTTGTATTTTTTGTACATATGGGGTTTCATCATGTTGACCAGACTGATTTTGGACTCCTGGGCTCAATCAGTCCACCCGCCTCGGCCTCCCAAAGTGCTGGGGTTATAGGTGAGAGCCCCCGCGCCCGGCCAGGAATGCTGTTCTTCACTCTCCAGCAAGCAGAGTGGCTCCAGAAGGGAGGGCGGGGGCTGAGGGGCAGAGGCCTGAGGTCCTGTTTGCTTTATCTTCTGGTTCCAGTGTGTGTGCAGGGCTGCGAGCGCTGGCAGGGGCCTCTGGCTGCCCAAGGCACAGACAGGGCCTGCTCACTCTGGGCTCTGAGCAAGAGCGACACTGAGCCCCGACACGGTGACTCTTCCTTCCAGAGCTTTGAGTCAATTTCTTCCAGAGACATCTGCATCTTGGCACGGCTTAGCTTTGCCCTCCTGTATAGGTTCTTGTTATTTATTTCCGGAATTTCCGGAGTGGGGGATTTACTCTTCATTTTAAAGGACTGGCTGGGTGGGAATTGTTTCAGAGGTGGCAAGACACAGCTCTTACTGGTAAGAAGAAAGGGAGGAGCTTTTGTGTGGGGACTTTTAACCACAATGAAAAGGTTGTTTGCTTTATAACTGTTAAAAAGAAGGGGAAAACCTCCCACCAAAAGCAAAATAACCACACACATGACCACACAAAGCTGCAAAATTCTTGGATAGGATTAGTTTCAAATTCCTTGATTAAATTCAAGTTGGTGTTTCGCAATAGCCACGTCATTACTAATTTAAAGGAAGTTCAAGGCCTTGGGAAAGAAAGCCTCCATCTCTTAGCACAGCCATGAAAATACGCATTTTCCTGTCAGCCTTCAGAAAATGACATCTGAGCTAGAAGAAATTAACCTAATGGCAGTTCAGGCAGGAAGCTTAAAATAAGCTTAACTGTTGTCTTCTTCCTTTTTAGATTGGTTTCCCCTCCAAGCTGGGATTTGAACTCTCTTATCTCCAGGGTTAGGGTTGGAGACGGAGTTGTAAGGACAGAAAGGGAAGAGGAATACACAGATTTTTTGCTGACGGACTTGGCCCCAGCTTTGCAGGCTAACTGAAACTCCCAAGGCCTTGAGATTTTTGAAAACTGCCATATTTCCTCTAGTTGAAGACTCATTTTATATTTTTTCACATGTTAACATTTATGAAATTGGGATGTGTAATGTATGCCCTGTCAAAAAAATTTCCAGCAGCTGTGCAGAGGAGTGACATGCCAGCGTGGCCTGCCTCGCCTGCGGCCACACCACTTTCCCCAGCTTCGTGGAAGTATCTGTTCATCCATTGTGTCACTCTGTTTTGTTATTTTCATTGGTAGGCACAGCACACTGTTAACTTAGATTCATGTTCCTAATTGCCACTGAAAGCGTCTCTCACAAGATAACTCTGCTTTACTGTATTGGAGCAAAAGTCATCATCATGCGTGCAAAAGATTGCCTGGCATATGCCAGGCATTAAGCATTGCCCCACTGCACAGAGTAAATGGTACAATTTTCAAAGCAAGGGGAAATTGGCATGACTACTTCATGCATCATTAAAAAAAAAAAAAAAACTATTATTCAGGCTCCAAAATCTTTAAAAGCTTCTAGTGATTTTCAAAAGAAGTTACTTAATGTTTATCTTTAAAATAAGGAAAAACAGAATCATAAGTTTAGCCAAAGAGGAAATGCCAATAAACCACTAGGATTCTCTATGATACCCTAAAATTACATTGTCAATCTTAAGCGTGCTGAAGAGGCCAAGCTCATAAGCATGGCTGGAAAGTGGCGTTCTCCATCCCGCTGTGAGTAACTGTGGGTGTCCGAAATCATGTGGAAGAATATTTAGTCTCTGATAATGAAACAGGCCAGAGTTAAACTTTGGTAATGAAAGCAGCATGTAATGGCATGGATAAGTGAATTCCAAAGTCATTTAAGAAGACACGCAGTAAGATGTGCCTCTCTCTCTATCTTCCTTTCTCTATCTCTTCCTTTCTTTTCCCCCTTTTTTCTTTCTTTCTTTTTTTTTTGGGGGGGGGGACAGAGTTTCACTCTTGTTGCCCAAGCTGGAGTTCGATGGCATGACCTTGGCTCACCACAACCTCTGCCTACTGGGTTCAAGCGATTCTTCTGCCTCAGCCTCCTGAGTAGCTGGGATTACAGGCATATGCCACCACGCCCAGCTAATTTTGTATTTTTAGTAGAGATGGGGTTTCTCCATGTTGCTCAGGCTGGTCTTGAACTCTCGACCTCAGGTGATCCACCTGACTCAGCCTCCCAAAGTGCTGGGATTACAGGCGTGAGCCACCAAGCCCGGCCCCTCCCTTCTTTGTTTCTAATCTCTCTTCTTTCCTTCTTTTCTTTTCTTCTCCCACTGAAATGCTGCTATTAAATTGATAGAGTATCTTATAACTGATGGCATCTTAGAACTGGGGAAATAGAGTGTTTGTCAGGCTGCTTGATTTAGCAACTGAGGGTTGAAGGGATGGGGGTAATTTCAAATCAGTGAGATTACTGGATTTCTTTTTAAAAGGTGCTGATGAGATAGAATCACCATAACAGAGTCAGGCACAGATGAAAAGATCAGCAAAGGCCAGGTTCCCTCGACTTATTTTGAATGGATGGAGAAACGGTGAATCTTGGGTTTGTGAGCATGACCAGTGGGTCATATGGGCAGAAAAGCAAGTGGCAGTCTCAAAAGAAGAGGGCATTTAGAATCCGAGGTTCAAGCTGGAAGAGATCTTGGTCACCTCCTTGCTGAATGCCTTAATTCAACAGATGAGGAAAATGGGCTCATACGGCAGAAATAATCTATAGAACTAGGACAGGATCCTAGGTGTCCAGCCCCTATTCTATGGATTTTCATCTGGAGAAGTCAGTCATGTACCTGCCACAGGGCCTTTGCACCTCTTTTCCCTTTGCTCAGATCATTCTTCCCCTAAATAGCCACATGGCTTTCTTCCTCATCTCCTTCAAGTTTTTGCTTAAATTTCAATTTCTCAGTGAGGTCTCCTCTGACCATTTAGACCAGAATATGCCATCTTAAAATATGACTATAGAAGACCAGAATATGCCGCCCCAAAATATGCTTCTTGGGCATAAGGATTATTTTGAGCTGATTATTTTGAGAAACTGCAGACACAGGAGTTCTAATCTGAAAACAGATCCCTGTGCAGGGGAAATCTACATCTATAAAGGAAATCTCCGCTTGTAAGAGTATCTCCCTCTCAGTATCAGGGCAAGAAGGATGTGTGGAAGTCACTGGAATCTCTAGTCAATGAAGCAGGTGCTGACTTGATTCTGTATAACAAACCTTACCCTTGTCTACCATGAGTTTCCTGGTGACCTCCCCACAGCACTCCGACCAGTAATGCAGGAGAGCTGAGGTCTCGGCATCCTCATTCACACCTGGTATTGCCACTTCTTTCTTTTTAATGTCAGCCATTCTCATAGGTGTTTGTATTTTCAACTTATACTTCCTTAATTACTGATTATTATCTTTTCATGTTTAATAGGGCTGAAACCAAGTTAAACAGATTTCTCTACTGCAGCAGGACTCAGAGCTTTTTTGAATTGCCTGATGGGCAGATAGCTGGGAATTCTTTTTCTATAGTCAAGTAAAGATTGCAAGGCTAGAATTTCAGTGAAGATATTTTGGCAAGTCCTGACCTACATGATTGAAGGGGTCCAGAATATGCCACCCCAAAATATGCCACTTTGACATATGGTTTATTTGGGGCTGAAAGCAATTGAAAATGAGCAGATGCAGGATGAATCCTCTGCTCTCTCTTTTCCTACCTGAAACAAGGGCATAGCATTCCCTTTGTGGAAGGTGTTCCTCAACTCCCACACCAGGAAGTGTAGAGCAACTCTTACCGTCAAAGATGGAGGGTCAGCATTGAGATGAGTCTGCATAAACAAGCTTTGTTTCAAAAAGTTTCCTCCATTAATCTCCCCTATGTATTTCCTAGTCACTTTCCCACAATTTGTCATCCCTTTCCTTTGTTAAAATGATATATAAGTCCCTGAGCCTAATCACTTTGCATTTCACCAGTTTTCTGTGAACTCCTAGGTATGTAAAAATATAAATACATTTGTATTCCTTTTCTCCTGTTAACGTATCTTGCGTCAGTTAAATTTACAGGCTCCAGCCATTAAACTTACGGGACAGAAGAAAGTTTTTCCTCCCTAACACGCTCAAGCACCTGTTCTTCTAGAAAGCATTTCATCTGTTTCCAACCAATTCATTTCATATTACTTCCTTCTGGTTTCTATTCATAACAGAAACATTTTGGGGTTATCAACTATGCTACCTTCAAGCCTTTACTCACGCTATTCTACCTGCTTGGAACGCTTTACCCTTTTTCCTCCTCTCACTTAATCTACCCAGCCGTTCCAGCCTTCCTCCTGCCTCTTCTGTCAGAAATGAGGCAGGAATAATACAGGGTGGTCGCAGAAGGATAGAAAATTCTAGGCAGGCATTTCACATGACTAGCAAAAGGAAACTGTTGAAATAGCCACAGGAGCTAAGAGCGGACAGGACCCTGAAAAACTAGGGTGTAGGCCAAGCTGGCTAAGACCAGCTAGACCCAACATGGTGCTGGATTTGACCGAGGTTTCTCTTAGGACCTCATTATTCATTCATTAGCATACAAATCGCATAGCCGGCAGCACCATGACAGTTCCAGGAACACCCACATTTGGTGTAAAAGTGGGTGGCACCACAGTTCTGAGAAATCTCCACCTTTTTCGAGGAATTTTCATGAATATTCCACCCCTTGGTTAAAGAAACTCATAGAAGTAGCAGCCCTAAACACCCTTGCACACAACTTTCTCTTGAGTCCACCTGCACTCCCCTATCTTGAGTGTGTACTTTTCACTTTGCAACAAATCTCTGTACTTTCACTATTTTCTGACTCATCCTTGAATTTTTTCTCCCGATGATATCAAGAGCCTGGGCACCGGCTGGGGTCAAGGTCCCACTTGTGTTTGGGGACCTGCCCAGCCCACCGGTATCCATGACTGGGACACTCATGGGACTCATGATCAGACCCTCAGTAGCTTTTTTCTATATTTTCCCAAAGGGGTTCTGCTCCATTTTTCTAACTAAATACTTAGTGGAAGGCCCTAGTATCCTAGACCTTTTAAAAAGTCCCTTGATACATTGAGCTGAGCATAGCTATTGCTTACAAACATTTATTGAATTCATATACAGTAAATCAACAGGCATTTATGTCAGTTCACTTAAATGTTAGCTCTTCATTTAGCCAGCTACCAAGAATAAATGCCAAAAAAAGAACTTTGTAGTTCCTGGCTAAATGGGGAGAAGACATTTAATTGGAAATTATGCAGCTCACAGCTGGGTTTCTTGGAACTTGTGGATGAAACTAGAAGTGTATGGCCAAGCCTACCAACAAACCCCCGAACCGTGACTTCTCCTTTGCCACATCATTCATGAAATGAAGGAATTAGAGAGGAGATCACCCAGTCCACACTTATCTCCAAACTGAATTGCACCCAAGGCTGGAAGAAACAAATGGAGCCCATGGCATTCAGATTTCTGTGCCCCGCTCTCCTCTCCTTGGTACTCTCACGTGTTTTGTCAAATTTCCCATACCCAGCTCCTTAACCAAAGGGACTGGCTGGGCCAGGCAGAGGTTGGGTTAAGAGTGCTCAGGTGTCCCAGGATGACTGTTGAGGGTGGTGGCAGCTCTCCTATGTCTCAGCCCCCCGGGAGCACCTCGGCCCTGCAGCAGCATCAAACTGGGTGGCACTCACAAGTCTGGAGCCAGAAATCAGTCAGTGGGAATATGATGCACCCAGTTTTACAGTGACTGTGTCCTGAAACTCCCTGTCCTTTGTTCTTTCAACAAATATAGATTGAGCAGTCATTATATATCTCCTCTCTATCAGGCACTACAGGAGTTCCTGGAGGATACTGGTCTGAAGTTAGCATGACCTTGACCCAAGAAACTTATAGTCCTGATAAGAACTTCCATCAGAACTCCAGATGTAAGTCACGCTTCCTGGGTTACGCTATTGGTGGTGATGGTGGGAGAGGGAAGGAGGGTGGGATGAAGTAAGAGCCTACTAGTCGTCACAGATGTGTATGGCTTTGACTGCCAGGCATAGGAGTCTGGTAGTTTTGAGGGTCTATCAGTATATGAAGTCCTTTGATCTTCTTGGCTTCCAGAAGGTAGCACAGGCCTTGCTGTTTGCCCAGGCCCATGGGGTCAGCCCTCTTGGGTACCGTGGCATGCAGATGAGGGTGCTCACCCAAGACACCCTGTAGTGCTGATTACTGACCGAAGGCACTGAATATCTGATATACTTTGGACAAATCTCATGTTGAAAGTAGATCCCCAGTGTTGGAGGTGGGGCCTGGTGGGAGGCATTTGGATTGTGGGGTCAGATCCTTTATGGCCATTTGGTGCCATCCTTGTGGTAATGAGCAAGTTCTTGATCTACTAGTTCCTAAGAGATCTGGTTGCTAAAAAGAGTCTAGCAGCATCCTCCGCTCCCTCTCCTCCTCTCTTACCATGTGGTATGCACACACCGGCTACCCTTCACCTACTGCTCCAGCGCCACGCGTCATGTACAGCCTGTAGAACTCTGAGCCAAGTAAACCTCTTTTCTTTATAGATTATTGACTTTCAGGTATTCCTTTATAGTGACAGGAGTAGACCAAGACAAAATCTATGTATCATCTATCTATCTGTCTCCCTACTCCCACTTCTGTGACAGGAGACTTATCGCCTGGTCCTGCCCTCAACCCAAGCTTCTGTGACCATCTCCCACTCAAATCTGCCCCAACAGTAACCTCAAGTGGGCTTGAGTCCTTGTCACCCCAACTTGCACTAATTTTGTTTCCTATGCTTCAGAATTGTACTTGTTAATATATAACAATATTCGGGCTACCCTAGTTCATGTAACACCTTTGAGAAGTGGCAGTGAGCAATTGCTTCCGCCAGGTGCACACAGCCCCACACCAGTGTGCAGGGTCTGGTTAGTGGAGGACAGCCTAGGCTGCAGCTGAATCTTACCTCATCAGGGCACAGCCAAGCCAGGTCCTGAAGGCATGGCCCCTGGCTGGATTATTGCGAGGCAGTGGACACCTTCACAGCTATTCGCTTTATCTTTATGACTGTTTCCCAAAGGTTCCCCTGACTTGAGCTCAAAGGAAGGTCTCTCAGGGCCGCCCATCCTGACTTTCTGGTCACATCACAAATGACCTTCCCAAGGGTCACATCTTCACTAAACACACCTGGCCTCTTCCAGACCCCACCATTGCTACAAGCCTGAGGCAAGAGGGTACCCACTTCTCTTCTCTGTCTCAACACATCCACCTGGGCCTGGCTTTCACTGATTCCTCACAGCATGGCCGAGACCACAGTGTAATGTTTAACAGGGTTTCATCAGAGGTCAAGGCTAAAGGAAGGAACGTAAAATCACATAGGGGTGTTTTGGCTACACGATAACCTCACAAAGACATGATATCAATATATTTCCCAAAGTCTGGTTTCAAAAAGTCTTGGGATGCAGCATTACACGTGGGCTTGCTGTGAGAAATACACATACTCCTGGACTTACTATGGGGTCCCATTCAGACAAACCTGTTGCAAATATCACAGTCCCTTAGCTCGACTCCCTTAAACATGCTCAGAACATACATCAACTTCAGCTGGGCAAAGTCACCCAGTGACACAGGACAACGTAGAGTATCATCATTCACCCTCATCATCGTGGCCGACTGGGAGCTGCATGCAGCCCACTGCCGCTGCTCAGCATGGAGAGGGAGTATCGGACCACACATCACTAGCCCGGGAAAAGAGCAAATGGCAAAATTCATTCCAAGTATGGTTTCTATGGAACACGTGTCACTTTTACACCATCATAACGTCAAAAAATCGTAAGTTAGAGACCATCTACTTAACAAAGATTTCAATGGAATAGTGCCTTAAATTATGAAGTATATATTAATTCATTGCATTATTAATTATGACTTAAAAACTATTAATGTGCCATCACAGCAGCCTCTCTTGGTAGAAGCTCTGTGTACTGGGCTAGAGTCGCTGTGCTGATTTGCAGGCAGAGCTGATCTTGTTCCTGCAGCTTCAGGATGGGTTGTAAGGAAGGGGTGAAAGAACAACATGCAATATGGCAGGTTGAAACATGGTCACAAATTCTTTGGCACTTTTCCCATCAAGAGGCAGAGGCTGTGTCCCATCCCCTGGAATCTGGGTCTGCTTTGGCCAATAGAGAATGGTAGAAGTGATACCATATGACTCCCAAGGTTAAGCTATGGAAGGCAATCTAGACTTGCATTGTCGCCTGGGAACATTTGCCCTTGGGGCCCTGAACTTCCCTGTGAGCGGTCCCAGGAGCCTGAGGTTGCCACGCTACAGTGACCACAGGTAGATGCTCTGGTCACCAGCCCCAGCTCAGCCAGCCTCCAGCCAGCCCAACTCAAAGACTGGACACAGGAGCCAAGATGTTGCCTGAGCAATGGGTCATCCAGCCCCATCCAGCCTACCCCCAGCCATGGGACTCATAGCTGTGGCCCCAGACACCGCGGAGAAGAGCCACACCTTCTGTTCTCTTTCCAGATTCCTGACCTGTAGAATCTGGGAGCATAAGGATGACATGGTTGTTTCATGGTTTTTTAATGCAACAATAGGTAAGTGAAACATGCAGCCTCTTCTCAATCATTTCCTTAGCCTTAAGAATTAAATCCCACATCCTTAGCTCTCCAAGTAGAAGTCTGGACAAGTCATGCTGCTTATTTTCCCTTCTTTCATTTCAGTTGCAGTGGGAACAAGTTTTGCAGGCCTATTCGTTTCCCAGGGCTGTTGTAAGAAGTTACCACAAACTTGGTGGCTTAAAATAACAAAATGTAAGGCCCGGGGAAGAGCCTTAGAATGTGTTCAAATGGTCATATGTTTATAAAATTTGCAAAAGTAAGACACTTAAACAATGGAGACTGCTGGTTCTTTCCATTTTTGCCTCCTCTCTGTTTCTGTGTTCCTTGCGTGGGTGTTGGGAGTGGCCCGGGATGTTTTTCCATATGTGCTTTAGTGGAGTTCAAGTTAGAGATATATTTAGTTTTGGTTAAATGGGACCTATTTATGTGGTTTTCCGACAATTTCACATATAGCTGAGTTATGAATAACCATCCTGATGAGGAATGACTTCCAGGAATACTCCCTGAGCCCACTGGGCTGATTTTCCTGAAGTCAAGACATAAATGTGCAGAGTCAGAAAACACAGGGCAATTGATACCAGCCCTGGAAGTGTGTGGGGAAGGGGAGGAAAAACAATGTTTGAAATATGTGGAACCAGCAGCTCGTCTGTGGAAAATTCTTCCAGCCATCACAGGATAAAACTATTGGTAGAGAACTTGATTCTTAATGATGCTTATTCAAAAGTGTAGTTCTCCCCAGTTCAGAATAACCTTGGGGATATAGTTTGGATACGTGTCCTCACCCAAATCACATATTGAAATATAATTCCCAGTGTTGGAGGTGGGGCCTGGTGGGAGGCGATTGGATCCTGATGGCAGATCATGAATGGTTTAGCACCATCCCTCTTGGTACTGTCCTCATGACAGCAATGAGTTCTTGTGAGATCTGGTCGTTTTAAAGTGTGTATCACCTCCCCCTCGTTCGCTCGCTCCGGTTCTGACCATGTGACGTGCCTACTCCCCACTCGCCTTCCACCATGATTGTTAGTTGCCTGCGGCCTCCCTAGAAACTGAGCAGATGCCAGCACCATGCTTCCTGTATAGCCTATGGAACTATGAGCCAATGAAATCTATTTTCCTTATAAATTACCCAGTCTCAGCCATTTATTTATAGCAATGTGAGAACAGAGTAATATACTTGGTAATGCAGAGTATACAATTGTAAGTTCATCATATTTATATTTTTAGCTTTTGATAGGAATTGCATGAACCAAAATTGACAGACTTTCTATATTTACTGGACAGAAATCTGTAACATTACTATAAATAATGAATATGTCTACAAAAGCTCCTGTATGAAAGACAGGCCATAGAGATTTCCTCTAAACTTGACAACAACCCAAATATTTGTATGACATCATTAAGAATGAATTGTGAAGCCAAAATAAACTTTTCCAAGCTTCTTGATAATAAAAAACAAATTTTGACCAAATATGCTGGATAAAAGGCTGCATTATATTTCCATTCTCCATACTTGGTCTTAGCCAAAAGTCTGAGCAGCAATTATAGTTCTATTCCTTTTATTTAAAAAATTATAAAATAGCCAGCTAATAAACATATTGAAAAAGTATGATAGAGATATTTTAAGCAGTTATTTAAAGAAAAATCTTAACTGTTTGGACTTCATGTTTGTGTTATTTGCCAGTTTAAAAAGTTATTTGTCTTGTGTTCTTTTCTTATTCTAAATATTAACACTCATATATAATTTTATATTTATAATCTTACTTTTTTTCCTTAAACAGGATGCCTCAAATTTCATAAGCTTTGGGATCCCACAAATCCTGAATCTCCCCCTGCCTCTTTCTTTAATCCATCCAAACCTGACTGGAATTTCTATTATTCCCTCCTCTACTTGCCCATATTGAGGACCTGACCTGGGAAGAAGGTAGCCTGCACTGATATCTAACTTGATAGATAGTTGTTGACCAGGGCAAAAAGTTTATGCTAGGTTTTCTTTGGATTACTTTTTTGGAGCTCAAAGCTTGAATGAGCTTTGATGTAGCAGGAGAAATGCTGCTTGGACAGGTAGTCACGCCTCATTCATTCTTCAATGGGGAAAGGGCTGACGAGTGGGTTTGTGGATAACGGGGGAGGCAATAGCATGGGTTCCCAGACTTTAAAGAGGCCTGTTAAAATGAAAGTTATCCTGGGCTTTGAAGCAAGGGAAATAACACTTCCTTTCTATTTTCAAACAATTTCATGCATCCATGACAAAGAAATATTGAAGATGTGGCCTCTTGGGAACTGAGAACACCAGAAGTTGAATTTATGTAACATTTTCAGAAATAACTATGGAATAGAAGTGTTCAGTGAATTTTCCAAGTCTATAGTGTCATCAAAATCTTTCATGAATTGAATAACGATGTTAAACTGTAGAAAGACCTTTCAAGATCCCAAGAATGGGTAAAATGATGTTGGATTCTCTTAGCCCTGCAATACGAAGTTAGGTGAATGAGGAAAGCAGCAAGCAGTTCGGACCCTGCCTCTAACATGATTTTCCCTGTGACTCTTGTTACACCCTAAAGACATGCGTGGGAAGGAATCCTAACACAGGCCTGTGGGGTATCACCGGGAAGGACAAGGAAAACAGAAAAGGGGCAGCACGTAAAACAGAAAACCAGTGAGTCCCTGCTCCTGACATGTGCCAATCGCCCCCGTGAAGTTGGGGCAGCAGAGAAAGAAACCAGTGTGATGGAATGAATCTTCAAATGCAGAACAGATGTTGTTACATGTTTACTTTTTCACAGCAGTATCTTTAAGTCTGAAAAATGGAAAGCTTCCAGGTCACAAAGAATGTGAAGGAACTCAGTGAAAGCTAAGACTCCTACGATGTGTGGAAATTTATGGGCAAATTCTCGAAGCTCAAAAGAGGTAGCTTACAGGCTGGTGAGGGTAAGTATTATCTGACACTGTGGAGAGGAGGCTCTGGGGACTCTGGCATGCGAACAACATAGGGTAAGGAAAGGCTATGTGTGTAAACAAATAAACAACCTCTATGTACATATAATTATTTTTCACTACTCCCAAGCTTTCCTCAGATGCCTCAGAGGGAGGAGTAGGAGAACTTCAAAGTGATGCTCAGCTGTGCTAGGAAAGGTGAAGTCTGTTGTTCGGAGAAATGAGAAAGAGCCTGTCTTTGAAAGCAGGACCTGGGTTTGAATCTAAGCTCAGCCACTTACTACCCTCTGTGGACTTAACCTCCCTGAATTTTAATTTTCTTATCTGTAGCATGGCCATGAGAATCCTTTTCTCCACAAACTCACAAGATGTTGTCAGGATTGAATAAGATAATATGTGTAGGACTTGACAGACTGCAAACAGTCAATAGATGACATATCTTTTTTTTTTTTTTTTTTTTGAGACAAAGTCTTCCTCTGTCACCCAGGCTGAAGTGCAATGGTGCAATCTCAGCTCACTGCAACCTCTGCCTCCCAGGTTCAAGTGATTCTCCTGCCTTAGCCTCTGAGTAGCTGGGATTATAGGCGCACACCACCACACCTGGCTAATTTTTTTGGTATTTTTAGTAGAGACGGCGTTTCACCATGTTGGTCAGGCTGGTCTCGAACTCCTGGCCTCTGGCGATCTACCTGTTTTGGCCTCCAAAAGTGCTGGGATTATCACAGTGAGCCACTGTGCCTGGCTGATGGCATATCTTATGAACTCATTTGCACCTATACCTTCCTAAGGCCTCTGTTACAAATAAAATATTATAAAATATGTGTATTTTTACATGTGAGCATTTTCATCTGAAGTCATTGGTTCATGGCCTTGCTCTGTTTATTTATTATGTATGAGGGGCATGCTGGCAGGGGTCCTTCCTGTAATTCCATCCCACTGCTGCCTCCTAATGCAATTGCAAATCTTCCATTCTATCAAACCTTATGAAATTACTTCTATCAACAAATGTCAGCTTTGGAATTCTCCTTACGAAAGCTCATTTCAGGCTTCCTTGGAATTCTTAAATAACTAAGCAAGCATTTGAGATCTGATATGCACCGGAAAGCACTGGCATAGGAAGAGATAAACTGCCTTAAATGCATCCACACTCACAAAACAGACACTGTTCTCAGCACTTTAATATTTTGGGGGCCAAGCTGCCTATCAAATGCTACCCAATAGGCTTCTTCTGAAATCAGCCTCCAGCAAGGCATTAGCACCAATTCTGAGAGCTTCCATTTATTTTGCTTACAGTCCCTGTGCAGTTTCGGAACACTGCGTTCCCTTTCTTGTAACGGCACAACGGCAACACTGCCACGTGGCACTGGACGGGCTCCCCACTTCGTGCTGGTGTTTCCTTTGGGCTGGTATTTTTTGCACACAGCTTTGGGGCCTCTAGCTATCCGGTACAAAGGAAAAAGCATGGGCTTTAGAGGCATTCAAACAAACCAGGGCTCAGGTTCTGCTGTCGTGTGCTATGTGCTTACTTAATCTGACTCAGTTGTTTTCGTTTTCTTCTGCAAAAGGGAAACAATAAAATTAATGTCTTTGTAGGATCAATGTGAGGACTGAATAAGACAATGTGTGTAAAGCATCCACTATAGTGCCCAGCAATGTGAAACACTCCAATAAATGAAGTAATTATTTTAATAATGGCGGTTAGGGAATGGGCAATGTGCTTTTCTTTGTTGTGATTTCCAGTGTCAAACTGCCCTGCCTTTGCTTAAAGAATTCAAAGACACGCATAAAAATGTTTCACTGTGGAAGGTTCTGCTCGATGGTGTGACTCTTAGCAGTAGTAACTATCTTTTCCAATGTTCTGGTGGCCTGGCAAAAAGGCTGTATTGGTGACGAGCTGGTTACTCTCTGAATTCCTGCGGCCTTTTTAACCTATCTGGAGAAAGACAAGGCACACTTCCCTGGTTTGTTAACTCTGAAGAAGCAGAAGTGAAGAGAAGTGGACCTTGTACTTCGTGTCATGATGGTGACATGAACACTTA